CAAGATGTCATACTGAATAAAGGAAACTATTTGTCTTCTGTTTAATTCTGAGTGGTCTGTCTGACATTTGCCATTATGCTGTGTTCCTGAGGTTGGAGTTTGGAAAGACTATGATTATCCAGCCTCAGAAAGCCAGCGAGGGAGACTGCTAAAACCACATTTTTTTCAGTGGCTGCTTGTGAAATACTTCTCTGGAAAAGTTGCCATAGAAGTAGTGGTGCATGAGGAGAATGAAGGGTTGCAATCCTGCAAACCAAAATGCTTAGTGAACTGAACAGTGGGATTATCAGCCCCCTGTAAAAATCCAAATTTTAGTATTGCCTAAGGAATGGGGAAGAGACTCTTTCTAGAGAGCAATTATTTATGGAAATAAAGTGAGCGGAGGTGGAAGCTACTGCCTCGTGCCAAAGTAGTGGGAATCAGGATAGGTCTGGGAGGTAGGGAGCACACAACTGTGTGTTTGGATGACAGTGAGTACGAAAGAAACGGTTACGGTTGTGATTTGGGGGAAAGGGTGATGGTGTTAGAGTGTAGAGAGCCAGAGCTCTGTTTCCTGGAGGTGTAGAAGGAAAGCAAGGGTGAGGGGAAACAGGCTTGATGCTGGTGCGGGGGGTGTGGGTTGTGCGTGAGGCTGGTGGGGAACACGGGAGTATGGTTTTAGGGGGTAGGCAGATGGGGAGGAGGCAGAAAGGAGCAGTGGGGTGGCCGGGATGAAGGGATAATCCAGAGCATCCCCATCTGCCGGATGCTTTCCTGGAGATGCGCTGGCAATCACAGCCAAGTGGGGAAGGTCTGCTGCTGTGTCCAGAGGCGAGCTGGGGGTGACCACTCTCTTCCACGCGCAAGGACCTGGCAGGCTGCAGATCAGCCTCCCAAGAAAACAGCAACTGCAGAGCTATAGCCGTCACTGACCCCACGGCACTCCTCCAGCTGACCTCACCTGGCTTTGAAGGAGCAGCACTACCCTTTTGAAAACCCTGCCTGTACCGCCACCAAGTTAAATTATTGCATGGGCTGGAGGAAATAAACAGTGCTGCTGACGCCGTGTAATGATCACTTCTCTGGGCTGACACCACCTTGGCTCACTGCGGGCTCCACCTTGCAAAGCTAGTGTTGAGACTGCCTTTTGGAAATGACGTCTGATTTACCACACGTCTGCTGGGAACAGACCAGCTTTAAGATCCCGATCCACAAAGGTCCCATGAAATCCATCCTTGGATTTGGAAGTAATGCCGCAGGAGGATTTTGCTGGAGTTAGGCAGGGCTGGACATGTAGGGAGTATTGCAGGACTGGGAGGATGCATGGCTGAATGATGGTGGTGGGGGTCCTACTTCCAGCTCAGCAAAGAGCTGCTGCCTGGCGGAGGCTAGAGGGTGCTGTGCTGCAGGGAATGGGTGTCCTCCTCCCTCCCTGCTCAGCATCCCTTCAAAGGCAGGTAAAAATTTGCAGGAAACGCTGCCTTTGAGGTCAGATGAAGACCAAGGTGCTGGCTGTAGTTACTAACAACCTCCAAGGCTTTTTGAGACTAAAATATCAGCCTCGTCTAGCTCATTAGTTAGCACCCAGAAGGTGACATACAGAAAGGGTGGCTTTCCTCAGATGGGTGAAAAAGCAAAAAGGAGGAGACAGGAGTGGGGAAAAGGAGTGAGAAAATGAGGAACAGATCGGGAGATAAGAAAGCTGAGTGGAACAAAACCAGAGAATAGAAGAATAAAGAAAGGAAACAGAAGATGAAACCAATGCAGAGGATCACATCAGTTGCTGTGTCCAATTAAGGGCTGCAGACCTGCTCAACGATGAAAAGGGAGATTTGCTTGGGAGAAAAATCAAGGAGCACTTCTTGCTCGTGGTGGCTGAGGCTGAAAAGCCCTCTGCTGATGGGGCAGGATCAGCTCCTGTTTACCCAGCTGAGGTGTGGCTAATCCTGAGCCCAGCAAAGAGCAGAGCTGAGGAGAGACAGAACAGGCAAAGGGGGGCATGGGAAACAGGGCTGTGTTTGTACAGCGGCTGACAGGCAGCTGCAAGACCAGGCAAAAACACGACATGCTTCCAAACAAGCAGTTCTCTGAGCAGATCACTGCTCCCTGGAAAGCCGGCCAGCTAACCACAGGCAGCCAGAGCGAACGTGCCCCTGGCTGCACGTGCTCTGCAAAACACAGCCCTGCCGCCCGAAGCTGTGGTTGTGGGGTCACTGTCCTCACTGCTGGCAAATCTGCTCTGTCTGGCTGCCTGCAGCAGGCGAGGCAAATGTGCAGGCGTAGCTAGAAGAGGAGGAAGCACAGATAGATGTTTTCTTACATTCCTAGGTTTTGCAGAAGACAACCTACCAAAAGTGAGAAGATGCAGACATGACAAAGGAGGAGGAAGACTGCAAAGGAGCCCCATTTCACAGCTACCCTAAAGGGATCGCACCTACCTCTGGGTCATGGGGAGGTTCTGGTGTTCTTTTAGGTGAGCAGCGTCCGTACAGTGTGGTGTGCCCATGAAGCCAGCCCTGCTCACGGAAATGAGCCACATCAGGTCTTGATGTGACCTCCCTCCGGTTTTCCACCTCGAGCCTGAGGTGGGATAGCAAGGACTGGAAGGGAGCATCCTAAACTGGAGACGGGTTACCACACAAGACCCTAATAACTGCCCTGGCCCCACCACGTGCACCGAAGGTGGTGCTGGGGCTGCGTCCGTAGGTCCCTGGGGAACATCTCCAGGAGGCACAAACGAACGTGGCCCAGAACATGGACCAAAGGGAATGCTCTGGGGGGATGTGAAGTCCTGTTAGGAGCTAAGAGGGGCTGTGAAATCCACGTGTTTTCACTCACTGTACTACTCTGGATGTCTCCAGCGAGAGCCACTGGTTTTACTGCAGGGGCTGTCAGAGCAGCAGCCCATTGCCAGCTGGGGACAAGTGGGGACTCAGCACTGGAGCTCGGGCTGTTTAACTCCTCCAAGAGCCACTGGGAGGATGCAGAATAGGTAGGATTTGTATCCAGTATCAACTGGGCCGTGGGGCAGGACAAAGAGGCGAGAGACAACAGTAACATGAACGTGTCTGGAGGGGGTTTGATGGCAGAAGGCAAATCAGTTCATGCCGTAATAAAGGCTCTGGCGGAAGCTGGACAAGGTAATTGATGTGGTGGGAGATCCCACTGAGAAGGAGGGGTGATTGCAGAGGACATATGGGGTATGACTAACAGAATGGATGTCTTAAAATCACGTTAGTATAAACTTCCGGGCAGGGAGGGAGAAACGCTTGGGAGACTTTACAAGGGACTGATACAAAACCAAGCTCTAGGAAATCTTTGGAGGAAATTTGTGAAGCAGCCAGGGGATGGGTGGATACCCCTGCTCCTCAGGACACTCTTGTTCCTGCTAAGGAGTTTTTCACCGCTCCAAACAATGTGTATGGAAACTGTATGGAGACGTCTGTGGATGTGCAGAGCTATTGGCTGGCTTCTTGCCTGGGAGCTGTTGTTGCTGCTGAGACAGGCGGTAGCACAGCCCCAGGCAGAGCGCTTGGGGAGGACGCAGCCGCCCTGGCAGTCCTGCGGCATCCCCTGCTCCGGCCTCGTGTCCCCCCGGGTGCGTGCTGCCCCTGGGGCTGGCTACGTGCCCTCCTCCATGGTGAGTCTGGATGCTCTGACCAGGCAACAGCCCTGGTCGGGCCGTGGCCGTGGCTCTCACAGATGGGTTTCATTCAGGACACGTCTGGCTTGGAGCTTGTTTTCATTTCCTTTTGAAGAAAGCGGGAGTCATGGGAGAGGAGTAACTGAGCGGCTGAGCCGACTCTCCTGGACACGGACCACGGTGCCAAACGAGCTCCTGCTGCGGTTTCCGCTGTGGCTCTGGAGGCTGCAGCCCAAGGGGCAGGAAGCGGCAGAGAAGGAGCTTCAACTGGTGTGCCGGTGGTGCAGGATCTCTCCAGGACGGGAGAGCGGCTTGTAATCACAGGGGGAGGCTCTGATGGGTCTCGGGGCAGGGGAGCTGTATGGCTCTTTGCCAGCACGGGAACTCCTGCAGCAGCTCCAGCTGAAGGCACTGGGCACCGGGAGCTTGCCCCCAGAGCAGAGGTCTTACAGGAGCCAACGTCCTGCATCGACAGTCACCAGCCACCCCACACAGAGGCGCAACTGGCTCCAGGTGGCCTCCGAGAGCCACTTTGGGCTGCAGGAACCAAGGGAGTAAGGAGCTGTGTTTGAGGTGCGGTCACCCCGGATGCCCCCACGGGGTCGGGCGTCTGTGCAAGAGGTGTGCAGGGACCTGTGCTTTCCTGCTACAACTAGCCATAGATGTGGCTACTGAAATGTATTTTGACAGGCCCCAAATATGCCTCTCTTCAGGAAGAAATGAATCCCAGAGCTGTGGCAGATCTCCCCTTGCCTGCCAGGCTCTGGGAGAGCAGAGCAAGTGGGAGGCACGGGGCGGGGGGGGGGACAGGCAGAGTTCAAACCTTCTCATTATGCTCCGAGATACAGAGATCAAAAGGCAACTTCACAAATTAATGAGGGCCCGGCCTGGGCAGAGCCTCTTCCCGGCACGGATGGGCGGAAGGGGAGCGTGCCGTAATGAGCAAACTGCCTTTTCTTCACCAGCCGGTAAGACAGGTTCTGGGCTCCTTGCAAACCCCCGTGGCCCAGCTCGTTAGAGTTCATTAATGTTGTTACATATTCATATAGCATTAGCGCCGTCAGGCCCCTGATGTTTAATCAGGCTGCAAGCTTGCCTTGAGCCCTACAAGTCTTGGAGGACCTTCCATCAAGCATATGCTGAAGCACATGCACCAAATCTATGGCTTGAGTAAGGAGGGGTCTTGTGAGTGTGATAACAGGGCGAGGATCCGTCCCTTGCCACAGAAACCTGGGTTATCAGAGGAACCTCGATGATAAAGTTAGCAAGTACACAATTTAGCGCTTTGTTTCACGGCAGGAGCTTGCCAAGAGCTTTCTGAAAAAGAACAAAAGAGCCATGGCTTATCTGCCTGTGGCATCTGCTCAGTGCTCGGGCAATGTCAGGCTGCTCGCTGCTGCTAATCCATAAGCGGTTTCAATTGTGCATCACGGTGTACCATGGAGTGTCAGTTTGTGTTACCGGGTGGGTGCTTTCAACAAACAGGCTAGAGAGGGGCAAGGCGAGTCTGGGATGTGGGCTCTGCTCCATCCTTCCTGGGCAGTCCCCTGCGACGGGCACCGCAGGGAACAGCCACCACCATGCAGGGGTTTAGTCCTGGCTAGTGGTTGATGCTGATTCATTGTCACTGGGGAGACAGCTATTTCCCAGGGTGATTCCTCCTGTAGCAGATACAAATGACCTTTGGAAATGCTGCTGTTACCGCTGGCTGCAGAGGATGTGTGTGTAAGAGGCCAAACCCGTGTGCCTACCCTTTAGATGGACAAAATAAAGGGAGACATGTCCTTCCCTCGAGCCCCTCCAGCCCGTGGTTTCCCATCTGTCAAATGAAGATGAAGGCAACACCTTTTCTGTTGGAGATACGCATGGATAAATCCTTAAAGACTGCAGAGCACTCCAATTCAGAGAAGGGGGTTATATAAAGGTGCTTATATTAAGCATCTTACGCAGACATACCAGCTCTAAACTGGATATAATCTTGTTTATTGAGGTTAGAGCAAAGGACTTGAAGTTAAACTGGCTGGGACCTCATCTGAGCTCTGACACGATCAGCAGTGGGAACGGAGCAAAACTGGGGAATGGTGCTGCCCTTTGCCTTCTTCCTTTTAAATCACAAGGTTTTACGTACCCTGAAGGGCGCTCAGTAGCTGTACAGAGCTTTCCATGCCCTGAGGATATCCAGTATCTAGGTTTCTTCAGATAGTCCTGAAATTCCTGGTACCTAAACAGCATCCCTAGATGTAAAGCCTGAGCTTAAAGAAACTGTCACCCTTTTGGTGGAAAAGGCAGGGAGTATGGAAAGGTTTTTTTTTTCCTCTGGAAAATAAACAGAGAAGTCCAGCCACATGCAAGGATTGTCCTGGCCAGTGGATGTATTCTGCAGCCATCGGAAACCACGCGCTGGCACGCCAGCGGGTGCTGATGCCGGCCGGGGCTGCAGGAGGTTAGAGATGCTGGCACTGACCGCTTGGTTATCCTGTTAGAGGGATTAGGAGCAGACTGGGGCTTAATCCTCTGCGACAGTGCTGTGGATCGCTTCTCCTTCCCGCTTGGTGTGGCAGCCACGTGTGGCAGGACGGGGGGACTTGATCACACAGAAACCTTCCCAGGATCTGTGCTGTGGCCTGAACCACAACTTCGGGCTCTAGGAAAGGGCCGTGCCCGCGAGGGATGGGGATGGCTACCTCTGCCAGGGGTTTTTTTTTTTGAGCAGAGAGCTGGGGCAAGGGAGGAAAACCATGTTGTAGGGAGGGTTGTGGGAGTGTTTCAGGTGGGGAATCCCTCCGGGGTGTAACGTCTACCTTTCTTTTGTGATAAACCTAAGCCAGTGAATTTCTTTATAGAACAGATAGCTGAAACAATAGGGGCTGCCACCCAAAAAAAATCCATGCAAGGTCCAAATGGGGCTTTGCTGGGAGTGGGGGGGTGTCATTGCTATCTGATGCAGGGGGGAGAGGTCCCGTGGGTCAGAGATGAGTGTCTGAGAGGGAGTGGAGAGAAGGAACACGAAACCAGGGCGATACCAGAGACATCACTGCAAATGAATCGGCTGTGAGACGCACCTTGGCTGGTTTTATGACAGATGGGGGCTTTATGCTTGAGCAAGGGGCAGGCTGTGTATTGTTCGCCTCCGTTGTTCACGGGAAAACACCTTTGTATAAGCTTGGAAATAAAGAGGATTGCATCAGAGAAACACTGCATCAGAGAAACACTTATTTTCCTCTTTATCACCCCAGCTGCGGGAACCAGGATATCAGCTATCTGCATGGCTCAGAAAGGGTTACGGCACAGCAAAGCCTGGCAGATCTCCATGCAGAAGAAACTAAACCCAGTGGTAAATCCTGCTATAACAAGGCCTAAGTAGTCCCTGCAGAAGGGAGTGAAATTATGCCTGACCTTCGAACTACCCAACTCTTTCAAGTAGAGCCATCCCTTGCGAAAACTTGGCGGCTATATGAACCCGGGGTGTGGTGTTTGCCTGTGGGGGCTGTCTCCATTCCTCGCTGCTTCCCTGTCCTTGACAGGCTGCTCCTCTCTCTTCTCCGTCTCCCATAGCCAGAGCTTTCCTCTTCCAGCTGGAACAGCATGTGCTCTTCCCAACCCCAATTTCTCATTGGGATCCCCCGCTCCATTGCAGGTTTCCATTCAGAGAGCCACTGGTGCCTTCAGGAAGCACCGTCCCTATGGAGAACATAGCTCCGCCTGGCTTCCACCACTCGCTTTTTTAATATCCTTTCCCATGCATGTTCCTCGGGACATCGGCATTCGTGCCCCAGGGACAGAAGGAAAACATTTTGCTTTCTGTTTTTAGAGAGGCTGCTGATTTTTCTGCAGCTCCCTCTGGGTCTTGCATCCTCTCCAAGACCAATGCAGGCAGTAGCCCCTCAAGAGGCCAGACAAACACCCTTGTCCTAGTTGCTTGTGCACAGGCCTGGGAATCTTGCCCTGCGCTCTCCTGCTCCTGACCTTGTTTTCCTCTGAACAGCACAGCAGTAATTACCCTGAGGTTGAAGGGTTATTTGAAAGCAAGTACTGTGTCTTGTCCGTTCCCTCCTTTCCATCCGCTGTTTCTCCCTACACTGGAGTTAAACTCTGCCTGGAGTTTCCTTTGTGTCGCTATTAATTGAAGGAAACGCCACCAGCGAGGGTGGTGGGGCTGGGTGGGAATACGTGTCCAGCTCCCTGCGTTCCTCACGCCCTGGTGCTCTGGCAACGCCACCAACAGCCAAATTGCCAGCGCACCAGGGCAGCTGGACCTGCCGGCGGGTCTGTCCCTGGGGTGTTGCTCCCAGTCTGGGTGCTTTCATGGGCACTGGTTGACCGCATCCAAGAAAAGCATTAGCTTGACGCTGGAGCGGAGATTGAAAAGGAGGTGGAAAGACTGGTCAAAGTGCACGGCGTGCGGCTGGGCTGCCCAGCTTGCTGCCTGCTGAGGTGGCCGTGTTGCCAAAGCCAGAAATGTAGCAACGCTTGGGCAGAGTCAACATGTAAATATGAGCAGGCGGAGTGTCTGAGGTGGGTTAGTTAATGCTGAAATGGAGGGTTTTGCAAGAAGAGATAAAGCCAGCTTCATGTTTAGGAGGAGGGCTTGGAGTGGATTTCCAGTGCAGGGGAAAATGATACAGCATTCCCGTACTGTGTGGTTCTCTTTTCCAAAGCATTTGCGACCGAGTATGAATTTAGCCTGAATCTGCTTTAGCCCGATGGTTTATGCCTTCCAGGGCAGAGCTCCCCACATGGCACCGGCTCCTCTCGAGAGCACGGCTGGGCTTTTCCAGCCCTCAGGGGCTGGGCGCAGCTCAAAGAGGAGCTTGTTTGTGGCTGAACCAACAGACCTGTGGCGTGGTGCTTTGGGGCAGAGAGCTGTTGTCCCCTCTAATCCCTTTCCCGCGCACAGCCGACCTGGCTGCAAGCTGTTTTCCTTGGTGCTGGTTAGGAAGAGCTTGGGAAAGTGCAGCTGGCATGCCGGGTGCCGAGGGTGGCGCGGGGCACTCACGCATGCCCTGTCCTGGCGGAGGGGAAGCCCTCTCCAGCTTTTACCCCATCCAGGGAGAAAAAAGTGGGGTTTGTGCTGCAAAATGGTTCTTCCTCCTGCCAAGTGCTGGCAGCCCCCAGTGCATCCCGGTCCAGCTCTGCATCCCTCTGACTGCCAGCCAGGGCCGGGGGCCGTGGGCACCGCCAGGCTCAGGAAGCCCCAGCAGCCACCCAAGAGCCAAGGTCTGGCATGGGGTGAGCCGGCGGACACCCCCCCCCCCCCCCCCCCCCAGAGCCTCCCAAGCCCCTCGCCCCCG